CGCAGGCCGGGCTAGCAGCTGGCGCGCGGTGTGTGCGGCAGGCGCGCGGGCTAATGATGTCACAAAGGCGCGGCCGGGGGTTCGCAGCGCGTTCTGGGAGCGAGCTCCGCGGAGTTCTTGGCTGCTGCTCGCATCGGCCCACGCGCTTTTGAGTTGTTCCTGAGATCTTTCACACCCTTTTGGTCGCCAAAACTCAAAACACGCGCAGGAACGTTGACGGCACAGTTGGCTAGGGTTGGTCTTGGCCAGGCCAAGCCAGATGGCTATTTTTAAGTGGTCTAGAATCTTTAAGCCCACTTAACAAAAAACCCCGTCAGATCAGCAGCCCTCCTAGGATCTACACAGCTCGGTGACGCTGTTTTTAATTGTATTGAACTCCTTGGGCCACTCTAGATAGAGTCGAGATTGGGAAAGACTGCCTTCCTTGCGGATGTCTTAACAGGATATTCAGCAAAACATTCCTGGAGGGTAAGCCCGACAATGGCCCATATTAAAGGCTACCCTTTACAGCCTGGCGATTCTCCGGTTTCCCTGGCAGAAAATGCTCTGTGTTCTTTCGCAAGTGTAGGGGTTTCAGTGTTGTGGAAACGGATTCGTCTTTATATCAGCTTCCGTCAGGCCTGGAAAACATCCACACGCTTATATGGTCGGATATGGAAAAATGTTGGTTTCTTGCTAACATCTTTGGATAAATTTTAAAACCATAGGGCTTACTATGTTTTGTGAATTAACTATGTGCCAAGTTAATGGACTAGGTGACCTCTCAAAATGTACAGTCGACCTTCACCTAAGGAGTTCTGGTGGCACAGGTTAAAGCATTTGGCTGGTAACTAAAAGATGAGGGGTTCCAACCCAGCAGCTACTCTGCAAGAGAAAGATGAAGCAATCTGCTGTAAGAAATCAAAGCCTTGGAAACCCTGTGAGACAGTTGTACTCTGTCCTATATGGTTTCCTTGAGTCGGAATCCACTCCGTGGCAGTGGGTTGGGTTTTTTGGTGATTTCACTCACTTAGCTTAAATAAGCACTTAGCTGCTAACCAAAAGATCAATAGTTAGAACCTACCAGCTGCTCTATGAGCGAAAAGACCTGGTGATCTGCTCCACTAAAGATTTCAGCTCAGTAAACCCTATGGGGGTAGTTCTTCTGTCCTGCAGGGAAAGTTATGAGTCAGAATCTACTCATGGGAGTTTTTTTTTTTTTTTTTTTTAAATATATGAGTAGACTTCTGAAGAACACTTTTGAGAAAGATTAAACCGTTTAGTAGAAAGGTTAGAGAGCAGGAGGTAGTGGTTAAAGCAATTAACCAAAAGGTCAGCAGTTCAAACCTAACAGCTACTCTGGAGAAAGATGAGGCAGTCTGCTTCTGTAAAAATTTACCCCCGTGGAAACTATGGGGCAGTTCTGCTCTGTCCTACAGGGTCACTATGAGTTGGAATCTACTCATGGCAGTGGGTTTGGTTTTGGTTTTAGAGAGCAGAAATGCGGGGCGGATCGTTTCCGGGACACATTGTGTCCATTTGAACCCAGCCGCCCCTTCATCCAGCATTAATTGCTAGAGATTGATTTTTGTTACTTGACACTTGCATCTCACTTCTTTGCAGTTCTCAAGGTTCAAACTCTGACTAAGCCGGAAGAGCGAAATTGGTTTTGCCCAACTTACCATTCACGCCCTGGGCCTAGCATGCGCCCTAAATGCACCCACGTTTGAGCCTCGTGACTCTCCGTAGCTGATCCTTAGCGGAGCAGGTTCCCGCGCTTTCCAGCGATAGGCGGCAGACGGCGCCGCGCAGTCGCAGGAGTTAGCAGGAGCGGCCATGGGTGAGACCTGTATCGCTGAGGAAGCTTGCCGGGTCAGTGGTGAGGCACGCGCCCCACGTGTCTTAGCTGTAGCAACGTGCTTCCTTGTGCTGTACTGCAGCCTCCCTGATCTAGGGAACGGCTCACCTTCGCATGGTCCTGTAGGTCTGGCAACTTATCTAGCCAGACTTCTCCACAGATGGCGTGGGCTGACCCGGGCGGGGGTGGAGGACTCAGGCATGATGTAACTGCCCAGTGAGGCCTGTGGGCATCTCCATCTGAGAAAGCAACACGAGTGCACATCTTGGTGGGGGATATGGAAGTAGAGAATAAAGGTTAGAAACTAGGAGATTGGGGATGAGAGGTTGAATAAAGTGAAGATGGAGTTGAAACAGTGGAATGAGTGATGAGTCTCTTTATAACATCGGAATGTCTAGTTTTCATCTGAAGGCCCTGGACAGACCCTTGTTTCAGGGTTTAGTGTAAGGCTTAGAGAATCTAATCTTCTGTGAGTTGCTTAGGTGCAACTTCCCTTGCATGTGATGAGGAGAAAGTGTGTATCTTTTGGATCTAAATCCTGGTCTACTCCTTATTAAGTGTGGTACATCAGGAAGTAACATGTGCCGTTTGTACTTATGTTTACTGCTCGACAACCTAGATGGTTGAGGTGAATTAAATGAGATGACCAGCAAAGGGCTTGTAACCCTTAACACAAACCAAAAAAAGAGCAAACTCATTGCCGTGGAGTCATTGGACTCATAGTGACCCCTCCTTGGGTTTCTGAGGTGTTATCTCTTTGGAAGTAGATTGCTCAACTTTCCTTCAGAGTAGTGGCTGGTGGGTTTGAACCACCAGGCTTCTGGTTAGCAGTCAAATACCTTACGCACTACACTACCAGAGCTCCCAGAACTCTTAGCAGAACCTCAGTAGAGGTGATTTCCTTTCTTCCTGATTAATTGGGTGCTGAAATGATAACAAAAGGTGCTGGCATTTTACTTAGTTTTTAGGGCTAAAATGCACTATTTTTCTTCTCTATTGGCTTCTGTTTTTGAAGGTTTGGGCTTCAGCTCAAAATGTAATATACATAGGGTAGCAAAGGATACACTAGAAAAGACATGCTTTTGAAACAATTATGCATGATTAAAAGGAAGCTAGCTCTGGTGGTGTAGTACCTAAGGCATTTGATTGCTAACCAGAAGGTTGGAGGTTCAAACCCATCAGCTGCTCCATGAAAGGAAGATGGAGCAAGTAGGGTGGTGATGAGTTGGAATTGACTCGATGGTAGTGAGTTTGGTTTGGTTTTTTGAGTTAAGTGTCTGGTTTTAGTCATCTGAAGAGAAACTTAATAATCTTAAGGTCTGCTTGTTCTTTTAGCACATGGGAACTAAAGAAGAATTTGTTAAAGTCAGAAAGAAGGACCTGGAACGGCTGACAACTGAAGTGATGCAAATACGGGACTTCTTACCCAGAATACTTAATGGGGAGGTACTGGAAAGCTTCCAGAAGTTAAAGATTGTAGAGAAAAGTGAGTCTTACTCTATTTTTAGCAGTCTTTGGTGATGGCAACAGTCTGTTCCAGTAGCTGTATTATCACCTTACATAAACAAATTTTAAGATACTGTTACAGGCATTATAATTACATGTTAGTGAATCAGGTAAAACCAGGGCTTTGAACCACTTCTAACCAGTTCAGTCATAGCTGATGAAGGAAAACCAGAGTAGACTAGAATTTTTAAAATTTGACTGATCTAGAATGATAATCGGAACAGGAAGAATTACCCAGTTGAAGCCCTGGCATGGAAGACTTGGAAGAGACATGGTGACCCTTTGGGAACCTAATGCATGATACTGGATTATTGGTAGGATGTGGAGAGTGATACACGTTCAAAGCATGTTTGGCTGCCATCTTTGAGTGGGGCACTGCTGTTTCTGACTGCTCAGAATCCAATGGGTGAGAGATTTAGTTGCTATGCAACAAATACACTATGCTTTTTTTCTTTCTTCTTTTTTCAAAATTTTTATTGTGATTTGGGTGAAATTTTACAGAGCAAATTCATTTTCCATACAGCAGTTCATACATGTTTTGTTTCATGCATTGAATGCATTTCCTCATAATGTAACAGCTCTCTTCCCACTTCCTCCTTGTAGTTAACTTTTCCCTGTGTTATTCTTTCCTGTGCATTCCTGCCCCCTGAGCTGTTTCCTTGTGCAAACTGCCCTTCTATTCTTCAATGATTGATCACTCTAGTGAGTGTATGTACCTGATGTAAATGTTCATCCTGTGTGGTGGAAGCCATGGCAATGAGTTCAATTGCAGACCTGAAGGGTAACTAGGGGCCATAGTCTCAGGGGTCTTACAAGGCTCTATCAGACCAGTAAACCTGGTATTTAATTTTTAATTTTTTTTTTAATGATTTTGAGTTTTGTTCCACATTGTTATCCCACTCGATCCAGGATCTCTTGCACTGATCCCTTTCTGAGTGGTTGTCAGTGGTAGCTGGGCACCATCTAGTTCTTCTGGGCTCATGGTCATATAGGCTGAGGTTCGCATGGTCTGCTAGTCCCTGGGACTAATTGTTTCCGCATGTCTTTGATTTTCTTCATTCTTTTGCTCTAGATGAAGAGAGACACGTTGCACCTAGGTGCTGCCCTTATTTTCTTTTTTTTAAAAAAATACCTTTTATTGAAATATAATTTATATGCAGTGAAACGCACAAAACTAAAGTGACATGGGTTAATACATTTTTTTCCCCCTCCATGTTCCCTCCTTTCGCCTCTCACCCCTGGTAACCAACAAGGAAAGTTTCCTTTCATATATAAACTTTTCCTTAACTTTTTTACAATAATGAACTAATACTCTGTTTGTCTTCTATGATTGATGTATTTCACTCAGCATAATGTCCTTCAAATTCATCCATGTTATGTAGTGTTTTGCAGATTCTACATTATTCTTTAGTGTTGCATAGTATTCTATTGTGCATATGTACCATAGTTTGGTTATCCATTCTTCTGTTGATGGGCATGTAGGTTGTTTCTATCTTTTTGCTATTGTAAATAGTGCTGATGCTGCTCTTGTTTTCTAAGAGTGACATTAAGTTTCTAGCAGGGCTTCAACCCATGGTTTTTCCCATTCTGGTTATCATTCTGGTACACTCAAATTTTAAAAATTCAGATCTGTTCTGGTTTCACTTCCTTAGCCATGACTGAACTGAGAAGAACACTTTTGAAGCCCTAGATAAAATAGAAGAGAGAGAGGTGCCCACAAATGAGTAACTTAAATATAAGTTGTATAGGTGAATTGGTATTGGAAGAATTGCAAACTTTTTCAAGTATCTTACCAGCTTCTCTTTCTCTTTACCTCTCTTCCTTTGTAGAAGTATTTCATAGTTTGCTTAAAGCATTTGACTGCTAACCAGAAGGTTAGTGGTTCAAACTCCCCAGCCACTACTCGGAAGGAAGGTTGGGCAATCTACTTCCATAGTGATACTGCCTTGGAAACCCAAGGAGGGTTCACTATGAGTTGGATCCGACTCGATGGCAGTAGGATCCTAAAAATCAAGCCCTTACTTGTGATTTGAGCTAAGCTGTTATGTCAAATATTAGTCTAAGAGCCAATTCACATTCTTGGAGATACTCTAGGACTGATTCATCATTTGCCTAATTGCACTGAATTACAACTCAGTCAGCCTTCAATGGCGAAGTCTTACTCACCATCCTGCATCTGACTATTAGCTATCACTGTATGGTCTCTAGAAAAGGTGTATCTAGGGGCCCAGGTAGTGCTTTAGCACTAGTCTGGACAGGAAGATTCCTTGACTTAAGAATACAAGTTTCTGGTTTGTGCAAATAAATCTGGGTCAGAAATATCCATTTAGAAGAGAGAATGTTCATGGTTACCATAGCACCACAGGAACTTTGGTAGCACAGTGCCTAAGGCATTTGACTGCTAACCAGAGGGCTGGTCGTTCAAACCCACCAGCCACTCCTTGAAAGGAAGGTTGGGCAATCTATTTCCGTAGTGATACCACTTTGGAAACCCATGAAGGGTTTGCTGTGAGTCTGACTCCACCGCACATAACCACAGCAACAACATAGCACCACACCCTGCTTGTTTTCTTTCAAGTCCTCAGATTAGGCTTCCCTTCTGTTCCCTGTGGTGTGCTCTGGGAGGCAGGCCCCTGCAGGCTAAACCTCTGGTTCCTGTGCTGGCTGGCTGTTAGCCATTTGGGATCAGTGGAGGCATCACTGGGAAGAGAGAGGTTGAGGTATTTCCTCCTGCTCCCTCCCTGTTGTACTTCTTTTCTCTGGCAGTAGCTACAGCCCTCCACAACTGTGTCTCCTACCTAGTGGCCACCTCCATAGTCCCACCTCTAATGGGCTCTAGTAACACTATTTTTCCTTTAATTCCTTCAGCTGTAGGGCTGTTGCTCATGCCTCACCATCCCTTGTGGGTTCCTTTGTTTCTTTTCTCACCTTTGTAGTCATTTCATTAAAGTCTCTTGACATCTCAGTTGATTTCTGATTCTCACTGGGACCCGAGCTGATGTATTCCAGTAGCTGCATTCCATATAACTCCAAGGCTTCTTGAGTCCCTAGTTCTGATACTATACTCATCCAACCACCTTCTGAGAGTAATTTGTCCTATATGCATTTGTCCTCAGGGAAGGAAAATGCTGACCAATGAGCATGAACAAACAAGTCTACTGGTTGGTTGTATTTCTTGCTGTAAAAGAATAAACTGGCTTTCTGAAAAATACATCAGGGTCTCATGACTTGCTTGTTGTTGGTAGTTGCTATTGAGTTGACTCCAACTCCTGGTGACCTTATGTGCAACAGAATGAAACATTGCTGGTTTCTGTGCCATCCTCATGATCGTTGCTATGTTTGAATCTATAGATTTCTCCTTCATTGAGTGTTTTCCAAGATTTCATTGACCCTCTGCTTTACCAAACCTGCTGTCCTTTTCCAGTAATTGGTCTTCCCTGATGACGTGGTCAAAGTAAGTGAAGTCTCTCCAAAGTATCAGAGTCTCTCCATTCTTGCTTCTAAGGAGCATTCTGGTTGTATTTCATCTAAGACTGGTTTGTTGGTTATTCTGGCAGTCCAAAGTATATTCAGCATTCTTTGCCAACACCACAGTATGACTACACCAGTTCTTCTGTCTTCCTTTCTGATCATCCAGTGAGGGTAGCCAATGAAAACCCTGTCGATCACAGCACAACGAGTTGCTGAGCATGAGTCAGTCTTTTGGTGATCAGTCCCTCTGCCAAGATAAGATTGTACTGATTACAGAAGTGAAGGCCACAAACAATCTGTGGTGACTTGAACAAAGCCAAGCCAGGCTTCAGGAGGTCTTGTTCGGCAGCTCTGACCTTCCCTGGGCCATGTAGTTAGTCACCTATTTTTATTGATCTGTCTGGCAATTTCTTCTCAATGTCTTTTACTGATTCATCTCTATTCAATAGCCTTCAGATAGTGGAGTAGCTTGTGGCTCAGGCCTCATCTCTTCTCACTCCACAGTCTCTCTTGAGGCAATCTCAGGTACATATAACTTCAATTATCACCTTGATGTCTGTGGCTCCTAGATCTCTCTCTAGCCCAAACCTCTCCTCCAAGCTCAGGACCCTTATATGTAACTCCTAATTGGCATTTTTCTTGCTTGTTTTACAATCATTTAAAATTCTGAATGTCTGTCCTAATTTGTCTAAGAATGGCTCATCAGGAACAAACCTGTGGTCCAACAAAGGTTTATTGGCTCATTGCAATTAGGGAGACCATGCAGCAGAGGAACTGTGGGGCCTCTCACTAGACAAAGAAAAGGAAAGAGTTATTGGATTTTGGGGAAGGAAGAGTTTAGGTGAAATGTAAATGAAGCAGTGTTTTGATGGCTCATAGCAAAGTAGAGCTTTGTATATAAGGGTCAACATCAGGCCTGACTGGAAGGGACTCAGGTCCCATTTCCTTGAAAACTACAAAGTAAAGATGGAACATATCTAGAAATCCTGTATTTGAAGCTCTCTGCATTTAGTTTAAAATCAAGGCTGTTTCTCTGTCAAAGTGACTCAGATCTTCCAGGCAAGAGTGGGATGTTTCCTCCTTACTGGTATAATTTCAAACATCAATCTTCCTGTTAGGCTGAGACTTTAGAGGATACATTTTCTCAATGAATAAGAAGTCAGCAGTCACTCACAAGAAGGGGTCATTATGGTACTTTACAGCTGCACTATGTCCTTAGCAGAAATGTTGCTTCCTGCTCACTTTGTACAGGCTCTAGCTGTGTCTGTTATCGCAGCCTGTGAAACGACAAGACACATTTTCACTGTCTCAGAGCACACTAATGTTTACTTTCTCATGTCTGACTTATGATTTCTGCTGCCACCCTTCCCCCATCCCAAATTGGTCTGCCTTCAGAGTCCCATCAATGAATAGCATCACCCCCAGCCTAGATAACTGGGAGTTCTCCTTCGTATTGTCTCTCTTCTTCATAATTCCCCCTACCTGTCCACCTGTAAACCAGAACCAAAC